ATCTTTCCTTCTGCCTCATTCTGTGCCCTGGTACAGCCAGTGCTGTCCTGGGGCAGTTCCTTTCCCTTTCCCGTGGAAGGAGGATCAGAGCTGGAGAAGGCAGCAGGGTGCTGCTGCTCCCTGGGAAGGAGGGATTGATCCTGTGTGTTTTATCCCTGGGGAGCTGCCCCTGTGAGCCTGGGCTGCTGCTGGGGGAGGGCACAGCTCAGGCTGGGCATGGCAGGAGGAAAGGGATGAGCTTTCCCGAGGGTTGTGCTGGAATCCCATGCCAGAGGTGTCCAGGGAACGCCTGGATGTGGCACTCAGGGCTCTGGGCTGGGACTCCATGGGCTGGGAGGGATTTTCCAGCCTCAGGGATTCCAGGATTCCACAATTCTCCTACTGCAGTGTCTCAAGCGTGGCTGGCTCTTGATCCTCTTCAGAGCATCCCTTTTGGATGATCTGGATTAATTCCTTTGTGTAAAACTCCACATTTCGCTTCCCTTGGAGGAAACTTTGCAAGAGTAAACTCCAAAGGAGTCTTGGCTTTTTCCTGGGATAACTTTATGGAATATATTGGTGAATCTGGTGAATCCCAGAATGGTTTGGGTGCCATGGCAGGGACAGCTCCCACTGTCCCAGATCCAATCCCACTGTCCCATCCTGGCCCTGGGCATTCCCAGGGATCCAGGGGCAGCCCCAGCTGCTCTGGGAATTGCAGCCCAGGAATTGCAGGAATTCCTTGCCAAGATCCCAGCCCAATCTCCCCTTTCCCAGTGGAGCCATTCCCTGGCTGGTTTTTCAGGATTGGGGCTTTCCTGGGAGAATCAGTCACTGATGGTGGCATTTTCTTTCACATGCAGCTTCTGGCTGTAACTCCACAGGTGTTTTCTGTGGGCTGTGGTGCAGCAGACAATTCCTGACCAATTATAAATATATTCCTTTCTCTCTCTATTTCTTTTCATCTGCCTTCCACCACCCAGCCCCAAACCAAGCCCTGTTCCTCTGCCAGCCCCAGGAACAGCTCTGGAGTTTAGGGGTGCTTGGATAAGAAATGGTGACAAACTGAGGTGGAAATGGGAATTGACAAACCTGGATGGAGTTGGAGTGTTCTCAGTTATCCTGTGTGTTTTCTCCTTCCTTGAACAAAAAGGCATTTTCCTGCTGAGATCTGTGAGCTGCATGCTGCAGGCCCCCTGAATTCCGTGTGAGCAGGAATTAACTCCGTGAATCCCCCGTGTGTGCAGAGCCCTGCAGGTCCCTGGGGCTCCAGCACGGCTGTGGCAGTGACAGATCAGCTCAGGCCAGGTCCTGCAGCAGGCAGGAGGTTCCTGGTTCTGTTCCACACCTCATTTCACCTGCTCCTTCAAACTGGAGAGCCCCTGGCTCGTGCCTGTTCTGTCTCTCACGGTGTGTGGGCAGAGAGAAATGGGAGTGTGGGGTGTGCCATGGGAAATGTGTGTCCTGGTGGGCCTGGGGACATCTGGGGACATGAGAAATGTGTGTCCTGGTGGGTTTGGGGACATGAGAAATGTGTGTCCTGGTGGGATTGGGGACATGAGAAATGTGTGTCCTGGTGGGTTTGGGGACATTTGGGGACATGAGAAATGTGTGTCCTGGTGGGTTTAGGGACATGAGAAATGTGTGTCCTGGTGGGATTGACATGGGAGATGTGTGTCCTGGTGGGATCAGGGACATGAGAAATGTGTGTCCTGGTGGGTTTGGGGACATTTGGGGACATGAGAGATGTGTGTCCTGGTGGGCCTGGGGACATTTGGGGACATGGGAAATGTGTGTCCTGGTGGGTTTGGGGACAGCTCTGCTGCTCTGTGTCCCTGCGGCCACTCAGCCCTGTGCTCCATCCCTCTGCCCTGCTGCTGCCCTGCTGCTGCCTGCATCCCCTCCTGCTGCTCCTGCTGATGGGCTGCTCCAGCCCTGGGGAGCCCTTTGGGATGGGGCTGTGCTCTCAAGCTGCTGGGAGATTGCTGGGTGGAGAGGTGGCACCATAACTCATTAATAATAACTCATTAATTAGCATTTCCTCACCACTTGCTCCTGGAGAAACCTGCACGGGGCTGGCTCTGCGTTCCCAGAACAAGGCTGGTCCAACCTGGTCTGGGTTCTGTGGGAACTGAATGGGTTTGGGAAGCTGGAAGTGCACAGGGAGTGTTTGGGAGGAGGGAGAGTTTCTGGGGAAGAAATTGCCTTCAAGTAGAATCTCAGCTCTTTATCTTCTGTAATCTCATTCCATCCCCATTTGCCCAGGATTGGCTCAGGTGAAATTCCCTCTCCCAGGAATATTCTTGCAGTTGATAGTGAATTATCACTATTATTTTTCATTCTATAATGAAACGCTTTGGTAAAAAGGTTGAAATACAGTTCTATGGGCAGAAGAAACCTGTTCAGATAAACCTGGGGTTTATGACATTTTTCAACACCAGGTGCATTGAAACACAGAAAAAGGAGCAAGGGAGATGGGTGGAGATTCATTTGTGATGGCTGTAGTTGATTTTATAGATGTTATGTATTAAAAAGAAAATTGCATGAGTAAATGGTCAAGAGTGAGCTGACCATGCTGAAGTTCCAGTGTGGAGGAGCAGTCTTAAAATGGATTTTGTTTTTATTTGCTTTTATTTGCATGCCCTGGCTTTGTAGGGTGTCAGGATGCAGAGGTTAGCTCGTGTGGGAGGGAATATTCACCTGGCAGGAGAGCAGCCTGAAATGCTGAATTTAAATTCCATGGCCATTGGAGCAGCTCTGTGTTCTGCACTTTTCTCATTCATTCTGGGAAATCCTTTTCAGTCTGTGACCCTTTGCCTCTGCTGTTCCCACCTCACTTCCCACTTCATCCTCCCTGATATTCCCCAGTGCCTGTCTCCAGGTTTTTCTGGGCTGCCAGCTCCATTCCTGCTGGGTTTGTGTGTCCCAGGATGAGCCCTGGGTGGGAAGAGCTGCTCTGAGTCCTCAGGCTTGGGCTGATGGAGGGGAGCAATTCCCTGAGCTCAGGGGCAGCTGCCCTGCTCCCTGCTCCAGGAGAAGGTGATCCAGCTGCTTTTCCAGCCAGGAATTCAATCCAATTCCAGCCAGGAATTCCCTCTTCAATTCCAGGCAGGAATTCAATTCCAGGCAGGAATTCCCATTTCAATTCCAGGCAGGAATTCCCACTTCAATTCCAGGCAGGAATTCAATTCCAGGCAGGAATTCAATTCCAGGCAGGAATTCAATTCCAGGCAGGAATTCCCTCTTCAATCCCAGGCAGGAATTCCCTCTCTTCAATTCCAGGCAGGAATTCAATCCCAGGCAGGAATTCCCTCTTCAATCCCAGGCAGGAATTCCCTCTTCAATCCCAGGCAGGAATTCCCACTTCAATTCCAGGCAGGAATTCAATTCCAGGCAGGAATTCCCTCTTCAATTCCAGGCAGGAATTCAGTTCCAGGCAGGAATTCCCTCTTCAATCCCAGGTAGGAATTCCCTCTTCAATCCCAGCCAGGAATTCCCTCTTCAATCCCAGGCAGGAATTCCCACTTCAATTCCAGGCAGGAATTCCCACTTCAATTCCAGGCAGGAATTCCCTCTTCAATCCCAGGCAGGAATTCAATCCAATTCCAGGCAGGAATTCCCTCTTCAATTCCAGGCAGGAATTCAATCCCAGGCAGGAATCCAATCCCACTTCAATCCCTGCCCTCAGGAGTGGCAGATACTGCTCCATTGTAATAGACAAATCAGCCTGGGCTTCTTTGAAGATATTTGCATAAGATGCCTTTAAAATAATCTATTTTAAATCATTAATAGAAGTAAAATCCCGTTTTAATGAAATAACAGATAAACATGAGAAATAAATGTAAAAGATGTCTTTGGAAACCCCCACAGGCCCTGGCTGTAAAGCAGGCAGGGTGAGTGGTGATTGTGATGGAGGGGCTGAATTTAGAGTTTATTCCAAAACTGATTTTCATGGATTTGGGAATGGGCAGCTCTGTCCCTCGGGAGGGATGGGCTGCTGTGCACAGGATGATGCTCCCAGGTTTTGGGAGCTGAAGTGGGAAAGGAGCCTGCCTGTTTCGGTGCAGTTTGGGACTCTGGGTGCCCAGGTGCGTGGGGCTGGAGCCCAGCTTCTCCTGTTGGGAATGGCCTGAGTATTCCATGGATTTCTCTGTCCATGAAGCAAATGAACACCCTGAAATACAGAGCAATAATCTGTGTTTTTAACCAGCAAATGATCCCTTGTAGCCCAGTGCCAGCACTTCCTGAGCTGCAGCAGCACAACCCAGGAGTCCAGTGGGATGTCCCTGGGATGTCCCTGGGATGTCCCTGGGATGTTCCTGGGATGTCCCTGGGATGTCCCTGGGAGCAGAGGGATTTCCCTGGGATGTCCCTGGGAGCAGTGGGATATTCCTGGGGTACTCCTGGGATGTCCCTGGAAGCAGTGGGATGTTCCTGGGATGTCCCTGGGAGCAGTGGGATGTTCCTGGGATGTTCCTGGGATATCCCTGGGATGTCCCTGGGAGCAGTGGGATGTTCCTGGGATGTCCCTGGGAGCAGTGGGGTGTTCCTGGGGTACTCCTGGGATGTCCCTGGGAGCAGTGGGATGTTCCTGGGATATCCCTGGGATGTCCCTAGGAGTAGTGGGATGTTCCTGGGATATCCCTGGGATGTCTCTGGAAGCAGTGGGATGTCTCTGGGATATTCCTGGGAGCAGTGGGATGTCCCTGGATTTCCCTGGGATGATCCTGGGAGCAGTGGGGTGTCTGGGATATTCCTGGCATGTCCCTGGGAGCAGTGGGATGTTCCTGGGATGTCCCTGGGAGCAGCCATCCCTCAGGACACTGCTGCTGCAGCGTGTATACTGAGCTGGTGTGGCTTGGGGTGAGGGTTAATTAGTGACTGCAATTAAAAGGAGGTGCTTTATGTGCAATCCAGAGCTTGCACCGTGGTGCAGAGATGTGCTGCCAAATACTGAATTGCTCTGAGGATTCCCTCAGCTGGCAGGTGTCAAAGGCTGAGCGTTATCAGCCCGCTCTAAATTAAAAACCATTGGATTTCTGTGTGGTTGTGCAAAAGTCCTGCTGAGGAAGGGAACTTCAGCACCTTGGGAGCGTCTCCAGGGGCAGGAGAGCCCCGGCAGGGTCAGTTCAGTGGGAGCTTTCTGTGTTTATTATCAGTCTGTGATCCTTTCCCGTTCCAGGCCGAGTGTTTGGAGGCAGAATTGCTTTGTTCCATCTCTCAGGGCTGCTTTTATTCCCGCAGGGCTCGTGGCTGTGCCTGGCAGCCCAGGTGGAGAGCGGCTGCACGGACCTGGCCGAGTTCCCCACGCTGGAGGAAGGGCTGCTGTCCCCAGCTGAGGCTTCTCCTGCAGCTCCAGCCCCTGCCTCGCCGCTGGGTGAGTCCAAAGCTCTTGGAATGCAGTTAGGAAAAATGGTGTGACCCAAAAAATGTACCCTAAAAATGTAGAACTGTGAGTTTCTTTCCCTTTTCTTGTTCTCCCCAGTTCCCCTTGTTGGTTGTGTGAATTGCCCCCACCCTTTTCCCCTCTCCTCAAAAAGGAGTGCTCATCCATCCTCTTCCTCCTTCCCTGCTGCCACCTCACCCCGAAGGATCCCAAGGAATAAAGCTGTGGCTGCCATCTCAGCAAGGGAAAGAGCAGCTCGATTTTAGGGTTTTCTTTGGCAATTTAATCTGTGTCCCTGTGTCCCTGGTGCTGCAGGGCACACAGGGTGGAGGGACATCAGAAATGACAGCACAGAGCCATTGCTACACAATCCACATTTTACTGCTCCCCTGCCCTGGGCTGGACCTTGCTTGGGTGAGAAATGAGGTTTTCAGAGTGGATTTGGTGTGGTTTTGTGGTCAGAGCCCCCCTGGAGATGAGCTGAAGGGTTTGTGTGGCTCCCTGGATCTTCTGAGGGTGAAGGGGGTCCCTTTGTCCCGGGGAAAGCTCTGCTCTTGTTTTCCTGTGGAGCTAAGGACAGCCCTGAGTGCAGCTTGCACCCCTGGCAGTGCCCAAGGCCGGGCTGGAGCCCCTGGGGCAGGGAAAGGTGTCCCTGCCATGGATGGGGGTGGGATGAACTGTCCTTAAAATCCCTCCCACCCAAACCATTCCCCTGCTTTTATTGCTCTCTGCTGCTTTGGCTGCAGTTTCTGTCACTGCTGCTGAGACTTTCCAGTTCTGACAGCCCACTGCAGCCAGCTCAGTGCCTCTGCTGCTCCTTTTCACATCCAACACTCACAGGTGGCTTTGAGAAATTCCAGGTTTAATATTTCACCTTGGTGCTTCCTCGCTTCCATTCATTCTCCCGTGGAGTCAGAGTACCTGGTAAAGCTGCACCCAAAGCTTGGTAAAACTGCCCCTGGTAAAGCTGCGCCCAAAGCTTGGTAAAGCTGCACCTGGTAAAGCTGCACCTGGTAAAGCTGCACCTGGTAAAGCTGCACCTGGTAAAGCTGCACCTGGTAAAGCTCCACCCAAAGCTTGGTAAAACTGCACCTGGTAAAGCTGCACCCAAAGCTTGGTAAAGCTGCACCTGGTAAAGCTGCCCCTGGTAAAGCTGCACCTGGTAAAGCTGCACCCGAAGCTTGGTAAAGCTGCACCTGGTAAAGCTGCACCTGGTAAAGCTCCACCCAAAGCTTGGTAAAGCTGCACCTGGTAAAGCTGCACCTGGTAAAGCTGCACCCAAAGCTTGGTAAAGCTGCACCCAAAGCTTGGTAAAGCTGCACCCAAAGCTTGGTAAAGCTGCACCTGGTAAAGCTGCACCTGGTAAAGCTGCACCCAAAGCTTGGTAAAGCTGCACCTGGTAAAGCTGCACCTGGTAAAGCTGCACCTGGTAAAGCTCCACCCAAAGCTTGGTAAAGCTGCACCTGGTAAAGCTGCACCTGGTAAAGCTCCACCCAAAGCTTGGTAAAGCTGCACCTGGTAAAGCTCCACCCAAAGCTTGGTAAAGCTGCACCCAAAGCTTGGTAAAACTGCACCTGGTAGAGCTCCACCCAAAGCTTGGTAAAGCCCCCCCTGGTAAAGCCCCACCTGGTAAAGCCCCACCCTGCTCCCCAGCCCAGGGGTTCTTGCCCCGCTGCCCCTGCAGAGGCAGGAGTTCCCTGCCCATCAGGACGTTCCTTTTGTGACTCAGTTTCCCGGGGTGAGGATGATGCTGGTGGATGAAGGTGCCTCTAAAGCTGCTGTCCCTCCACCAGTCTGTTCTTCCCAAACAAACAAACTGGAGAGGCCAATAACATAATTGTGTATTTTAAAATAAACCCTCTGTGCTTGGAGTTAACTGCCCGTGCAGTTTGCCATTCCCTGTGTCAGCTCTTGCCTGTGGGTAGCTGCTTTTTGGGGTTTTGTTTGGAGTTTAAAACACCCCTAAGGGCATGGAGTTGAACTTGCCTTGGGAACTGCCCCAGATCCATCTCGTAGCAGCTCCTGAGGGGTTTAGGAATTTAACCCTTTTTTTAAATGTGAAGCTCCTGCTCATTTCCATCAGTTTTTGGGATGGTTTTGATGATGCTTTGCTGCATCCTTGGTGAAGGAGTTTGTAAGAGGAGAAGGAGCATCTTGGGTGGGCTGTGGTTCACCCCAGGCCCCCTGAGGCTCGCTCCCTCGCAGGGTGGGGGTCACCCCGATGGCTGCAGCTGTCCCTGCTGTCTCCTGTCCCATTCACTGCAGGGATTCAGATGGCTTTTGGCAATGTGTGGCTCAGGGGGTTTGTGTTTGAGCCCCTTGCCTGTGGTGTCACACACAGGAGAGGAGAGAGGACAGAGGAGTTCCTGCTCAGTGCTCCAGCACCGACAGCCTGGGCTCAGTCACAGCACCAGGAGCTGCTGCCTGCTGGCTCCAGAGCTGATGCTGGGGTGGTCTTGAGGAGCTCTTCCCCTTCAGGAGATGTTAAAAGCTGTGTGTGCATCACAGGGAGCTGGTGGACAGGGAATAAATCCCGTTTCTGTAGGGAAGTGAGGATCAGGACAGATCTCAGGACATGGGAGGTTGGCTGTGCCTTGTCCCACACCCTCTGGGCAGGATTCTTGTGTTCCCTGCATTTCACAGCCCTTCTCCCCATCGCTGCTATTTGCAGAAGCCATTAAATCAAGAAAAACTTCTTGATATTTGTCAAGCTTTATGATGCCAGTGCAGCTGGAATTGAGGAGCGAGCAGAAGGCTGAGTGATGTGATCAGGGCTGGGAGAGGCCTCTCCTCTGCAGGTTTCTCTGCTGCTCTCTGGAGATGAGCTTGCTGTGAATCCCCAGGTACAGCAGGAGAGCTGAGAGGGAAGGAAGCCAGAGCTGCAATATTCATTTATTTCTTCTCCTCCTCCTCAAAAAGTGTCTTGGATTTCATGTCAGGAGGGGAGGGATGACAATGACAGTTGGACTGAAGTGCTCTGTGGAACAGCTTGACAGAGCCGAGGCTTTGTTTGTGTTTTGCCTTCCTTTTTTATCCCCCCCAAATGGCAGCTTGACTGTGGCATTCAGACTTGTCAGCAGGCTGGGGGAAACAGGAACAGGCCCAGCTCTGCCTGCTCAGAGAGCTGCACTGAGGAGACTTCTGACCTTCAGAGTGACAGCAGGAAAAATCCCAGCTCTGACACGAGGAGCTGCAGAGAGCGGTGCTGAAATCACTGCAGCTTCCAGCCCAGACACCTGCTCCAGGCCTGAGCCTTCCTGAGCCTCCTCAGTGTCACCAGATCCATCCTGAGCCTCCTCAGTGTCACCAGATCCTTCCTGAGCCTCCTCAGTGTCACCAGATTCATCCTGGGCCTCCTCAGTGTCACCAGATTCATCCTGGGCCTCCTCAGTGTGCCCCAGATCCATCCTGAGCCTCCTCAGTGTGACCAGATCCTTCCTGAGTGTCCCAAATGTGCCTCTGGATCCTTCCTGAGCCTCCTCAGTGTCACCAGCTCCTTCCTGAGTGTCCCAAATGTGCCTCTGGATCCATCCTGAGCCTCCTCAGTGTCACCAGATCCATCCTGAGCCTCCTCAGTGTGCCCAGATCCTTCCTGAGCCTCCAAATGTACCTCAGATCCATCCTGTACCTCCTCAGTGTGACCAGATTCATCCTGAGTGTCCTCAGTGTGCCCCACATCCATCCTGAGCCTCCTCAGTGTGACCCAGATCCTTCCTGAGCCTCCTCAGTGTGACCAGATCCATCCTGAGCCTCCTCAGTGTCACCAGATCCTTCCTGAGTGTCCCAAATGTGCCTCTGGATCCTTTCTGAACCTCCTCAGTGTGCCCAGATTCATCCTGAGCCTCCTCAGTGTGACCAGATCCATCCTGAGCCTCCTCAGTGTGCCCCAGATCCTTTCTGAGCCTCCTCAGTGTGCCCCAGATCCATCCTGAGCCTCCCCAGTGTGCCCCAGATTCATCCTGAGCCTCCTCAGTGTGCCCAGATCCATCCTGAGCCTCCTCAGTGTGCCCCAGATCCATCCTGAGCCTCCTCAGTGTGACCAGATCCTTCCTGAGTGTCCCAAATGTGCCTCTGGATCCTTCCTGAGCCTCCTCAGTGTGCTCCAGATCCTTACTGAGTCTCCAAATGTGACCCAGATCCTTCCTGAGCCTCCAAATGTGACCCAGATCCTTCCTGAGCCTCCAAATGTACCTCAGATCCATCCTGTACCTCCTCAGTGTGCAAATGTACCTCAGATCCATCCTGTACCTCCTCAGTGTGACCAGATTCATCCTGAGTGTCCTCAGTGTGCCCCACATCCATCCTGAGCCTCCTCAGTGTGACCCAGATCCTTCCTGAGCCTCCAAATGTGCCTCTGGATCCTTCCTGTACCTCCTCAGTGTGACCAGATCCATCCTGAGCCTCCCCAGTGTGCTCCAGATCTTTCCTGAGCCTCCCCAGTGTGACCAGATCCATCCTGAGTCTCCAAATGTGACCCAGATCCTTCCTGAGCCTCCAAATGTGACCCAGATCCTTCCTGAGCCTCCAAATGTGACCCAGATCCTTCCTGAGCCTCCAAATGTACCTCAGATCCATCCTGAACCACCAAAATGTGCCCCAGATCCTTCCTGAGCCTCCCAGCTCTGCCCCAGGTCCTTCCTGAGCCTCCTCAGTGTGCCCAGATCCTTCCTGAGTGTCCCAAATGTGCCCCAGATCCTTCCTGAGCCCCCAGATGTCT